CATGCAAAATCCGGGCTTGGAATTCACTGGTTTTCCAAGTGCAGAAAATGAAATTGATTTCTAGGAAAGGTGAGAACATGGAGGTTGAGTAGCTCCTGATTTTTTAGGGTTATGGATTTTATGAGCTGAAGGTTGAGTACAAGAAACATAAAAGCATCCTCCTTTGTACCTCCATCTCCTTGACGCGGCTTCATGGGGACCCAGCATCTACGCTGCGACAAGAGTGCGCGGTGGAATGGGTGAAGAGCCGCTCCAGAGGATAGCAGGGACCTCCCCGCCTTGCCCCGGGGCAGGGGAGGCTCCGGAGAGCCCCTGCTGAGGCTTGGATCACCCTCTGCCCTGGCACTTCAGGGTCAGTCCTAACCCAGCAGACCTGCACCGGCTTTCTGGAGGCCACACCTCAAGTCCTTGCCCTCCCCTGGCCCCCAACCCCCCGCCCGGGCCCCCCAGCCCTCAGCCCGGTGCCCAAGGGAAGGAGGAAGACTTACCATCAAGGCCAGCGTTCGGATCTCCTAAAAACCAATGCCATGCAATCAGTTGAAGAACAAGTCAAGAGCCATCTGGAGGGTCCCCTAGGCCCAGGCATGGAAACATGGGAGCTGGGTCCCCCTCAGGAGCACAGTAAGGTGGGCTCCGTGCCTCCCAACCGCATGCCGCTCCCACCTCTCCCCAAGGTTCACAGAGACTGGACAGAGAATGCTCTATATCTCACCCAGGCTGCTCTGAAGCTGTCCTACACCAGACTCAAACAGGCCCTGAAACGGACTGCCTGCTTCCCTTCACTTTGCCAAAGAGGGAGGACACAACGTCTCTGCTTCTCCCTGATCACTGACTGGGACCCTCCCCTGTTCTCTCCTCTTCCCCAGAACCCAGATTTCAAGGCTCTGACATACTTCCTCGTAAACAACGAATGCAGAATAGGAAGATACAGAGCCACTCAAGAAACCAGGGGGACGATTGTTGGCATGGAGACAGGATCGTACACCACGTAAATGGATCCACAGAGGTACAGAGTTTCCTTTAAATGGATGGTTCTCCACCTGGGGGTGGCGTTTGGCCCCCGGGGACATTTGGAGACATATTTTGGCTGTCAACAGGGGGTGGGGTGCTCCTGGCATCTAGTGGATAGAGACCAGGGATGCTGCGAAACATCCTACAACATACAGGGCTCCCCTTCCCCCACAACTCCCCACAAAATGACCCCACGGTTATTGAAGACCTGGGGCTCCAGAACCCTGGATGGACCAGCACCCCCCCAGGGTGCCAGGATGCTCCAGTTATGGTGCTCAGTTCCCCAGAGCCAGGATAGCCTGCTGGCAGGGCCAGACCAAGAGCCAGGCCACCTGGTGGCCAAATGAAGGGGGTGCATTTGCCTGGAGGCTGGAGACAGAGGCCAAGGGAGAGAGAGCAAGGGGGACGCTCTCCTGGAAGCTCTGCCCAATAGCCTGCCCTCAAGCACACTAATGGGGGCATTGAAGTGCCCCCTCATAGGGCCGTGATGCAGCGCCCAGAGGTCTCTGAGCGCCTCCCGATCTCTAGTCTCTGGGCCAGCTCCCACTCACCTGGAGAGCCTCGTTGATGTTTCCGTTGTAGTCCACCATCTCTCCTTTCCCTGGTTCCCCCTTGGTGCCCTGCAAGACAAATGCGGCCTCAACCCCAGGCCGGGGCCAGTAGGGACGGGGGCGCAAGGCTGCCTGCTCTCTACCAGGTGGGATCGTAGCCAAGGCGGGCTGAGCCTGGCTGCACGCGGGAGGACCCAGAGCTGCAGGCCGGGGAGTCAGGGGCTTCCCCACACTGAGAGAGGATGCCTAGAGGTTCTAGAACAAACACAGAAGACTCTATGCGACAGACTCTGGACTAGACAGACCTAGAGAAGACCGAGTCCCATCATGGCTGCCATGACCGTAGAAAGAGGTCTCTCTCCCTCCCTCCCGTTCAAGGCCCAGAGTCCAGCCATTCACACTGTGACCCCAGGGGAGCGAGATGTTGTGCTCTGACTCCGGGGGAGATGCACGTACCTTGGGGCCGGCTGGTCCCTGGTCTCCAGCTGCTCCAGGCTCCCCCTGTTGCATGACAAAATTGGAGTGAAAGAGGGATAAGGTTGGATCCGAGAGCACCTGCTGTCCCCAGAGGGGCCATTGTAAGGGGCCCTGGAGGGGCTGGGAGGCTCATCTTCACTCAGGCCAAGAGGCTGCCGACCTTCCTGTAGGGAAGTGCAGGCTCCTTCCCTTCAGGAGCATCTCTACCTGCCTCACCTCCTCTGGGCCTCCCAGCGCCTCTGGGCTCCTCTGGCTTCTTGCTGAAAGACCTTCTTCCTGGTCTGGGCTAGTTGCTAGGGACTGCACCTGTGACCTGTGTCTGCCTGGCCACCTCTCCCCCGCCCCCTATGGCAGCCACCTCTTCGGAGGACCAGGCCCTTTGCTTCTGTTTATTTCCACTCGGCTCACAGAGCAAGAGTCCGTGACCTGAGGGGTCAATAATTGCCATGGAGGGACCATGGGTTCTTTCAGGGGCCTCTCTGCATGTGACAGCCCCAAACTGCCGGATGGAGAAAGGGAGTTCAGCGGAAGGCACTAGGAGCGCTCAACCTCCCCGCTGGGTGGGGTTGGGGGTTATTGCTGTTGGAAACAGGACAGAACTATGGGGAATGCATGAAAACAAACCTCAGTCCCAATGGTTCTGGGACAATGTTAACATCAGAGACAAATTTTAAAAATCAAGACAGAAAGTGTATGTAAAGGGACAACAGAGCCTTTAATATAACTTAATTCCACATGACCCTGAAGCCGATCAGCTCGTGGAATGTCGAGCCACTGTCACCTGCTGATGACCTGCCCCTACCCTCCCTCCCCCCAGAGCATTTTCGTCCCTGAGCACTGTGAGGGACAGGGCAGCCCCGACCTGACCCTCCCACAGGAAGTAGCTGGGGAGAAGTGGGAGCCCCACCTTTACCAGGGGCGTGGAAGCTAACAGAAGCAGGGGTTCTGGGTCCTGCCGCAGCCCAAGTGTCTGACCCTGGACCAGCCTTTGCATGACTGCTGACTCCATGGAAGGCTCTCCCCAGCCAGCAGGAGAGATGGCCACCGGGAGTCACGCCCCATCAGCTTTGTGCCCCGGGGGTCTGGCTGCAGGGCCGGCCACAACACTTGCTCTCCCTGAGCTGGGGCTTGAACTCCCAAGCTGACCTCATCTCAGAACTGTGAGCCTCTGTACCTTGTCTCCTTGCCGTCCTGGGGGGCCGGCCTGGCCATCAACCCCAGCTTCTCCCTGGGGAAGAAGAGAGACATGGGTGTTAGGTGTCTTTGGATCTCTGTCTTTGTCTGCACTGGCTTCTACTGACTCACCTCATTCTTCTCATCTGCCTCCCACCCACCCGTGGGCCCAGTCTGGGTCTCACCTCCTCCTGGCAGCCTTCCCTGTCTGCCCCTTTCCTCCTCTGAGTTCTGCACCACTTCCTGGGGTCCAGCCCGCAGTGCCAGGCACTCCTCAGTTCTGGTTAACACACAAGCCAGCTCTGTTGCAGCCCCCAGGTGGGGACCGCCATGCACCCCCAGCTACCGGGAGGCAGGTCATTTTGGAACCTAAAGCACTTGGGAAGGCACACCTCAGCAGTCCCGCCTGGGAGACAGAGGGGACCATGAAGCCTCCGGGCATGGAGGGAGGGGGCCCAAGAGGCCTAGGATGGGAGGCACAGAGAGAGATGGGAGGAGGCCCCCCCCCACGCATACTTCCCTTGGTCAGCACTTTGCCTGGCCCTGAAGGAGGACACGGGCTTGGGAACAGTCTTCTAACTTTCCCCTCTTGTGTCCCAGAATGCAGGGACAGTAGTGATCAGGCTTCCCTGACCCCAAATCAAAACCCAAAACCTGCCAGGGATCAACACCCCATGGGGTCAGACTCCGACCCTGGGGATGTCCTGGAGCCCTGGGGGCAGGGCCACCATTAGCAAAGCTGGTGCTCAAGCCAGGGAGGCTCTATTCCTGCCACGGTCAGATGGGCACGTGGGGGTTCGCCCGAGACCTTTTCGGCCACTTCATCTTGTCTGTCCGTGGGCTTCCTTCTGGCCCCCACCACGATACCCCTGTGAATTGTGGGTCTGCTTCTCCTGCTGGGTTGTGAGCAAGCTGAGGGTAGGTTCTCTGCAGCCTCGCAGCCCAGGCAGGGCCCCGCCCACAGCAGCAGGTGGGTGGAATGAATGTGTGTATCATCTGAAATCATGTCCTTGCCTTATAAGCTCAGAAAGAGGCCATCCTCTCTTCCCCGGGCTGCTGGAGTAAATGGAGCAGTGCAGGCGTCTGCTTCGGGAAACCCAAACCCCACCACTGCAGTTTCAAAGTGAGGGCAGTCCCATTGGCAGCTGACCCCACTGCTGCTACCCGGCCCCCCGCCCCGCCCCCCCCGGGTGCCAGCACCAGGTGGGGCCCAACTGATCACTGATGTCTATTCAGAGCCTGGGCAGGGGGCCCTTCTGGCTGTCCTAAGCCCTGCAGCTGTCCGTCCCTGACTCAGTTACATCGTAGCTGTTGAATCATTGGGACCATCCATCTGCCCTCGGACTGTTTCTCTCGGATAGTCAAACAGTCACCACTTAAAATCAGGAGCTCAGTCCAAATTGTCTTTCTAGAATCCACTGGAAAAACCACATATCTGGAGCAGGAGAGAAGGCAAGGTGCCCAGGATGGAGTCCGCAAGAATGGGCTGAAGATAAAGGTCACAGGCAGCATCTCCCTCGAGCGTGGATCCCAGGGAAACTCACCTTTGGCCCGGGGGGCCCAGGTAGCCCTGGGGGGCCGGGGTCCCCTCTGCCCCCTCCGATGGAGTTACCAGCATCACCTTTTTCTCCCTGGGAACAGAATAGGGGAGAGTGGGGGAGTAACCATCACTAGGCCTGCCTAGCTCTGGAGGGAGGTGGCCCATCCCTGTCTTTTCTCCCCTCCCAGTTCCAAGGAGTAGGGGCAGCAGACCACCCTTCGGTCCAGGCTGGGCACAGAGGCCCTCAGAAGCCCGGCCTGGTCTGACTGGCCATGGGATTTGCGGAGAGAAGGGACATAGCTATTGCAGGGGAGCAGGTATGGAGCAAAAAATGAGACCCCTCATGCCTTGGGCCTAGACTCTGTTTCTCAGAGTGTGTCCATGGAACCCTCCTTCTGGGGGTGGGAATATTTGAAAGGTGGCCAAAGGGTGTTAGGGAAGGCAGAGGGAAATGAAGAAGCTCAGGCTCCTGCCCCGCAGGGTGCTCCGAGCCCCGGCAGGTGAAAGTGCCCTGTGACCTTCCAAGGGTGCCTGACTTACGCAGCTCTCCCCACACTTACTTGACCTCAAGTCTTCTTTTCTTTTTTTTTGATGGAATGTAATGGAGCTCATGTCCTAGGGAGCACGTTTTCAGAGCTGACACAAAGACATCTGACAAGGTCACAGCTACTGGTCTTTGAATATGGGCATTTTTTGCCAGTCAGGGCCTCCCACGTGGTACCCCACGCACGAATCTAGCTGTGTTCCAGCTTCTTTCCCCCAGTCTGGGAGGGACACCTCCGATACTGGGGCGCTGAATGGTCAGGGCCGGGAACATGGATGCGGACGAACCCCAAGGCCTTTACACAGAACCCACCATTTTGAGCTTGCTAATACTCACCTTCTGCCCCATGAGGCCGAATAGCCCAGGGGAGCCTGCAGCCCCCTTTTCGCCCTGTGGAGGAAATACAGACAGTGCAGGGTTAGGAATGGTTTCTCTAGGATGCCTGGGAAGGCACCAGGCCCACCAGCATAGGGCCTTGGTTTTCTCTCTGCTGCCTCCCTGCCCCTTTGTGGGCCATTTCCCACCAGACCCCCATCTGCACCTGACTCCTTCCCTGGGCCACTTCACACTGGTGAGGGCCTGGATCATTGTTCTCCTTCTCCCGTATTGGCCGGGCCCTCATCATTTATGAAGCGAGAGGTGCTAAGAGCATTTAGCTCCTTTTGCCGGGTCTCCTGGGGAGAGGCGAGCAGTGTAGAAGGCCAGTAGTCGGGAAAGCTCTTCATTTTAACCGCTCTGTTCTTTTCATTTTTTAAATGTCTAGCATTTAGAGGCCCCCAGTCTCGGCCGACCTCCTCCCTGCCTCCAAGGAAGACAAATACCACCTCACTAGACTTCTCCTTTGGAGGACTATTTTGAGAAGTTTGCTTCCTGTGATGGGTTGGCCTGCGTCCTCCCAAAATTCATATGTTGAAGTTCTAACTCCCTGTAGCTCCGAATGTGACCTTCGTGGGAAATAGGGTCATTATAGATGTAACTAGTGAAGTTATGAGGTCACACTGGAGTAGGGTGGGCCCCTAATCCAATATGATTGGTGTCCTCATAAAGGGGACATTTGGACAGGGGGACATGGACACCGGGAGAACGCCATGTCAAGATGAAGGCAGAGATTGGGGTGATGCTTCTACAAGCCAAGGAACACCAAAGGATGCCAGCAAACCGCTGAAACGAGGAGAGAGGCAGGGGACAGATTCTCCCTCACAGCCTGCAGAAGGAACCAGCCCTGCCGACACCTGATCTCAGACTTCTGGCCTCCAGAACTGTGGGACGATAAGCTTCTGTGGTTGAGCCACATGGCCTGTGGTCCTTTGTTCGGGCAGCCCTTGCAAGCTAATACTCCGCCCTAAGCATCTTCTTCGGCCATGAAGAATTTTCTCCCCCATGTCGTGCATCACAGAGCTCTGCTCTCGCTGCACAGATAAAGAGACTCCATGGCTGTGAACGCCCCTCCTGGCCTCAAGTGGCAAAGGCAGGCCCACTCCCCAGCCCTCCTGAAGCTCCATCTTCTACACCATGAAGACGGCACTTGGCCCTCCCAGAGTGGCCCGTATCGGGAGAGCAGGTCAGCACCCGAGAGCCCCCTCCGCAGCTTGATGGCTGCTGGTTCTTGTAGCTAGTTATAGAAATGGAGGGCCCTGGGGTCATAGTTTGCCAGGTGTCTCAATGAATTTTCCAGCTAGAGCCGCGGAGGATGCCACACCAAGTCTTTAGGTGTCATCCGCTTGCCACCTGCCCTGGGGTAGAAGGTGAATGACAAAACAGCCTGGGCTGTGCTGAGCTGGGGCAGGCCCTGAAACAGGCCGAGTCTAAAGGGGAAGGATGTAGGTGCTGCCCTCCGGAGGCCGGCCATGGGGGCAGTGGGGGTGGGGGGAGGGGAGGCCTCCCTTCTGCTGTTCTTTCCTCTTGAGAACCAACGCTTTCGAGGGGGGAGGGTGTGCCCCCGAGTGCAGGATCTCTGCAGCTTTGCCAGGCCATCTGGGCACTCCCCTCTTCCTGGGGACACATGCACCCCGAACACACGGGCCATGGGGGGGGGCAGGGAGCGGAGGACCAGCAGAGGCTGGTCTGAAGGGGACACACTCAGAGACACAATATCCTACCCTCTGCCCTCTCTTTCCCGGCAAACCTGGGGGCCCTGGCTTCCCTGCTGCTCCTGGGTCTCCCTTTGGGGTAAGAAGAGAAAGTCACTGATAAGAAGATTGGGGGGGGGTGGTGAGGGGTAGGGTGGACAGTGATTGTAAACCAGCATTTCCAGAATACTAGTCCCATAAGATGTTCCTCTTAAGAAAAGGATGCTCTAGTCAAAAAGTTTGAAAATGCTGCACCAGAGATTACAGTTTTAGAGCTTCCCAATATACATGTAGCATCTTAAAGGCCCTGAGAAGGCCTGCAGTTAAAAACAAAAACAAAAACAAAAACAAAAACAAAAACAAAAACAAAAAAAACCCTGTGAAATATTTTTAACTCTGTACTTCCCAAACATATTTGGCATGGAAACGTTTTTCATGTTACATCCCTTATAGAACGAGACGAGAGAGAGCCCTGCAGGCACAAGGGACAAGAGTTACTGCCTGCTGGAACCGGTGTGCAGGCAAACTGACCGAGCTCCAGGCCAGGATCAGGGAGGGGAAGGCATTCCTGACCAGCAGGCCCCTCCTGGGTGGGCCCTCCTCTGCTCGGTCGGGGCCCCAGCTCCAGGCCAGCCTCAGGGGGGCCGAGAGCATAGCAGTAGCTGCCCCCCCCCCAATGCTTGATGCTCCGTGTAACCCAGAACATTCCCTCTGTATCAGTACCTTGGCTCCCGGGGTCCCTGGCTCACCCTGTGTGGAAAAAAAAAAGAAGACTCCGGTAAAGAGATGAAGGAGAGAGAGTGAGAGCTAATGCACGAATAAATGAGCAAAAGTCCTCATGGGGTGCGTGAAACATCTGGCCAGCCCAGGGCTTCCCTCTGCCTAGGCTTCAGGTCCCAGGCCAAAGGAGGCCTCCTGGACTCTTCCCGATTCTTCCCCTAGGTGAGGGATGTGGCAAGTGTGAGCTCGGGGGGAGAGCAAGGAACGGGCATTTGCTTTGGACACAATGCCCCCGGTCTGTGGACCTGCCGGGAGATCCACATCTGTGCTTCTGGGTGTCCCCATGCCTGCCGACCAAATGCGGTTAGCGTGGGGTTCAGGGGAAGGACTCCTGCTCTCCTGTCGGGAGCTTTGCGAGCACGCAGCTGTTGGATTCTGAGGTATAAAGGAAAGCACCGGGTCCCCTTGGCCCCTGGCAGGATGCTGCTCTAGCTGAGGCTGGCAAACCTTAGCTACTTACTATGCAAGGCTTGGTTAAAACGTCTCTAGTTCAAGCTATGCATAATGGCATACACGTTGCCTTGAGAAATGTTTCTGAATCCTGTCTGCCTCCTCCTTGGCCGAGGGGCCACCCCACAGAGTCCCTGAAGCCCCAACTCCGTCTTCCTCTCTCCTTGCCTCCCATCCTGCCCCTCATGTGAGCAGTGCTAACGTGCCACTGACCTTCATCCCAACCACAGCAATTCCAGGAGCTCCCTGGTGGAGAGAAGAAAAAGGCATGGCGACCTGGGGCGAGCACAGAGGGAGGGGCCAGCCTCCCAGCCTCCCCTCAGCAGGGGATGCGAAGGCAGACTGCTTGCTTCAGCCTGCTGGCCGGGCCCACGGCAAGGGTGGGTGGCTGCGTCTGGCACAGGGAGTGTGGGTCCCCAGGAAGGCAGAGGCTCTGAGCAGCACAGTTGAGTCCTCCAGGCTTCCCACCCACCTGCTCGGCTCCCAGGCCCTCCTGGCAGGGAGCCCAGGAGTGTCCAGATGGGGGTGTGTCTGGGGTGCAGTGTGGGATAGGAAAGGGGGAGGAGGCTCTGGGAAGGGAAGGGGGTAGAAGGAGAGCCGCGTGGAAGGGAAGAACGGGAGATGGCTGATTTCACCCCTGAGTGGGCAGGTGGGATTCTTCTCACAGAGAACTCTCTGGATCTGTGCCTTCATGGATTGGGGGGCAGCTGGGAGTGAACCCCATTTCCACATCAGCCCCAAACCAGCCACTTTGAGGTAAATAGGCTTCCACATGCAGCATGTAGTCAATCGTAAGTGGAGGGGATATTTAGGGAGTCCCTACTCCCCACGTGGGACGGCAGCCAGAGCTGGGCTTACCCGAGAAGCGTTTTTATGGCCCAGAGATGCCCAGGAGGAGGCCCGGCCATGTCAGGAGGGCGCTGGGGAGTGCTGGCTCGTGGGCCAAAGAGAAGCACCCTGGCCCCGGAAGAGCAGGCTGACACCGCAGGGGGAGGGGGCTGGGAGGGAAATGTGTACCCCCTCTTCAGGTCTCCACAGCGGACATGGGAAGGAGAAGGAGTTGGGCCTCCCAGGTGTCCCAGAACTTGGGAGAGAGGGCTGGAGCTCAGGCAGGGGCTGCAGGTGGCGGGGCGTGGGGTGTGGGGGGGAGGGTGCTGCCGGAGATGGGGGAGGGGCAGGTACCTTTGCTCCATGTTTGCCCGGCATCCCTGGCATTCCCCGTTCTCCCTGAAGGAAGAAATAAAAGAAACACTGAGAAGAGGCCCAGACTAGCCCGAGGCCTCGGCCCTTGGAGCACAGCCTGCAGGGATGTCCACGAGATACTCCTGCTGGCTGGTCTGGAAGCTTGGGATGCCTGTCCAGCTCACAATGAGCTCCGAGGACCTGGCAGCCACCGCAGGCCGTCGTTCCTCTTAGCTACGTGAACTCACAGAAGGCCCCCCAAGAGAGAGAGGCTCACCAGCAGAGTCCGAGTCCCGAGGGGCTGCAGGAGGGCTGTGCAGGACCTACCACCAGCCAGGGGCCCAGCTGGGTCAGAGCTCGGTGCACTTGGCCACTCACCAGCGCATTCCTCCCTCTCATCGCCACCTAGCACTTCCTGCTCCGTTCTCACCCCAGAAGCTTCGCTCTCGTGGTACCTGCTGGCTGAGCCACATGGGCTCCTGCCTCTCCTCTTCATCTGGGGCTCCCCTTCCTCCCAGCTTCCTTGGGTCTAACCCTTCCCAAGGGCCCGGGGGTCTTGGCCCTGCACAGCTGAGGGCCAGCCTGTGGTTTGGGGGTCGGTGGAGGCAGGGTGCTGCCTGGAACCCATCCGTGGGCACCAGGAGAACTGTGGCTTCGGGACACTGTAGGGTTTGCTCTACGATCTCAGCAGTGTCCCGTCTTTCTCCTCAACCTCTTTTCCCTCCCCGTGAAAATGCCAAACTTCTGGGGTGGGGCTGTGAGCTCAGGAAGGACAGGAAGGAGATGGGGTTGGAGATGACAGCCAGTGACAAATGGAGGTCAAGAGTAGATGAGTCGAGACTGACCTACTGTGTCAGAGAAGGGGGTGGTGCTCAGGAGAGGAAGGAGGGCAGCTCTGGTCTCAGCGAGTTGAGCCCAAATGAAGCCCCAGCCCGGGCTCGGAATGCCAGCAGCGACAGGGGACAGTCAGCGCTTGGCTGTGGCTCCCTGTGTCTGAAGGCAGCTGCACGCTGGGGATGGCACCATGGGGTCCGGACACACTGTGTCCTGGCCCAGCCTCCCCACTTGGGTCCCAAGAGCTGTGGCCTTCAGGCTAGGCCCCAGTTCCCATAGGCTTCCGGGCAGAGGGGGACACTGGTCCCACCTGGCCTCCATCTTTTCCGCTGCCTTCATCCCTTCTCTTCTGCCGTCTTCTGGGAAGTCCTATCCACCCTTCCGCTGGCCAAAGCTAGAACTTCTTCCACCCTCTCTGCTCCCTGACTGGGCTTCGGTGCTGGCGTCTGGGGAAGCTCCCCGGGACACAGGCTGGACAGTGACACTCCCTTACTGCAAAGTAGCCACTGCCCGGCATTGACCGCAGAAACGGGGCCAGGCATTCCGTCCTCGGCTTCCTTCCCAGCCTCATCACCTGACATCCCGATACCTACTGCCTATTTCCCTGAAAACACCATCCATTTTCAGGATTCCGTGTCTTTTTTTTGAGAGAGAGGGAGAAGGAGAGGGAGAATCTCAACCAGGCTCCACACCCAGCTCTGGACATGGAGCCTGATGTGGGACTTGATCTCATGACCCTAAGAGCTTGACCTGAGCTGAAATCAAGAGTCAGATGCTTAACCAACTGAGCCACCCAGGCGCCCCGGATTCTATGCCTCTCTGATGTTCCCTAGACACCCTGTTCATTGTTAGGGGCCTTGGTCAAATACCATCTCCTCTGTGAAGCCTTTTGCTATGCCCATACCCAATGCTGGTTCCTGGGTGCAGCGGGGACCACTCAGCATTAGTAATCGGCATGCATGAATTAATGTCTGCCTGGGATCGTTCACCTCCATCCTCCTTGGGCTAAGTCTCCGAATTCTGCAAAAGGCCCAGAATCTTTAGCTCCAAACACAGGAGCCCTTCCTCACCCTGACCCCTGACCCCTGAGCCACAGGCAAGGTTAGTGGATCCGTACTCAGGAGGTGAACACAGCAGACGAGTCATTGCCCCGGGGCCCCAAATTCTGGGAAATCCCTCTTACAGGCCATTTACTGCGTCTGCCATGCGCCTGGCACAAGGCTAAGGGCTTTCCATCTGTCCTCTATTCAATCTCCAAGACTCCTCTCCGATGTGGCAATGGATTTTATTCCCAGTTCACAGGTGAACAAACGGGCTCTGAGAGGCCAGGTATGATCACCAAGGTCATGCAGAGTAGGGATTTGAACACAGGTCTTTGTTTGCTGAAGTCCAGGTACCCATTTCTCTAAGCCAACCCCAAGCATCGATGGGCTGATTCTAAAGCCCCTCTCAGCTGGAGGGCCCTCAGGTCCCTGCCTCAGAAGGGTGCAGGGGTCAGCGCAGGAGGGCAGCTCCCGGGGCTGGGGGGCTGGGTCTTTAACCCCGTGCTGGGCAGAGGAAGGAGCTGGGCAGGGCCCTGCCCGCCAGCAGAGGTCTGCTCTGTGGCCAGCAGAGGGCGCCACAGGACCTTGTCAGAAGTCTGGTGACTGTGGCCAAGAGGGTGTCAGAGCCCCCTCCTCAGGAGTCCCAGCCGAGGGCCCCTATCACTGTCTCCTTCAGAGGACCCAGGATCTTCTGCTAACGTTCCAGCTGGTCCAACCAGGTTGACTTAGCCCCGAAGACACCCCGAAGACAGAGTCCCCAGGGGTGGGGGGTCCAGGTGGGAAATCAGCTTGGCCCTTCCTCTTCTCCTGTCTTTCCCTCCCCTTCCCTCAATGGCCCTGCCCGCCTCTTCTCGTCTCCATCTGGGGCAACTGGCTGGGAGTCAGGAAAGGCTGTGTGACCCTAGGTAAGCCTCTTTCCCTCTCTGGGTCCAGGCTCCTCCTCTGCAAAGTGAGTCAGACTGGAGTCCACTGGCCTACTACTACTCTGGCCCTTTCTCCAGCCACCGCCAGCCCTGCCTGCCTGAGGCCTTTAGCCAGGAGAGAGCTCGGAGCTGGGGAGGGGACACTGGGTCTGTCGGCAGCTGCAGAGCAAGGCTGTGGAGGTGGGAGTTTAGCTGTGGGGAAAATGCTGGTCTAGGACGGGTCTCAGGGGGTCTCTGGTTTCCCTCCCTCCTACCTGGAAGGACAGCTGCAGAAGCTTCAGCAAGGGGGGTGGGGTGGGGGTCTGCTCGAGCCCCATCTCTGGGCTTCTGTCTCCAATCTCAGCAGGAGCAGTGCAGAGCGAACCCCGGGAGTGAGGTTTTCCCGCTAATTGGGGTAGTCCTCAGCCCGTGCTGGCTTGTATGTAAAGACAAAACCACCCTCTCCAGGGAATTCCGGGCCCCTTGGAGCTTCCAAAGGAGGCAGCCCTCCTCGTTAGCGTGGCTGACCTTCGCCCCTTCCCTCCCCTCTGGGTCAAGTCTCTTAATTCTACAGATGACCCAGGCTCTCTTGATCCCATTTCAGGCCTCCCTCACCCCCACCCTTCTGTCGGGCAGGAAGCAGGGGTGCCCCCGGCTGACCCCACCCTGCAGGCTCATTCCACTCTCATCAGGCGGGGCTTACCCCAGCCTGACCTCTGCCCTGGGGACCAGCCCAGTCTGACACCAGGAAGCACTGATTCTTGGATCTGTGAGGTGAGACAGGGCTGAGTCATTGTCAAGGACTTCGGGGTGGCTGTGGACAAGGGCACCTGTCTGCAGGGAGTGAGAAGGGGGTTTCTGGTAGCTATTGCTAAAAGGGGGACCATGACTTCTGTTTACACAATTTTTCCTCTCAGTGTGTCTTTATGAGGGTCCTTTTGCCCATTTCTCTTCTTAAAAGTGTTCCTGTTTAAAAGGTTTAGGTTTGGAATTGTGCTGAATTTAGTTTCACTAACTCGAGTGTCTTCATCTTAAGTACAGAGGGAATTCTCATAGCCTGTCCAAGTCCAAGGTCCCCAATTTATCCCCTTTATCTTTGCCTTCCCTTATCCTCCCAGTAGGACACCAGGAGCTCCCCCAGTGGGCTCCTAGCGACCCCACCCGGGCCACTCTGTAGCTGGGGTGGTGGGCACTCTGTGCGTTGCCCAGGGGCACAGAGCATGGATGGCAGAAGCAGTAGGGGAACCAGGGCAGAGACCCCCAGGCCAGGACATCCCACCACCGAGGAGCCTGGCTCTTTAACCTGTTGGTTAACCCAAGAACGCCTGATTGCTGGCCAGGAAGGAGTAGATTCCAGTCACTGTGGCTAAGAAAGCTCTGGGTGAGCACAGGTGGGTAGAGAGGGGGCTGCCTCGAATGACCTTGAAGGCCGGTCCCAGCCCTGCCTTTTACGATGCCACTAACTCTCCAGCCAGGCCTGGCACAGAGCGCCTTGCAGCACCAGTAGGTTTTCTATTCTGGTCCCGGCTTCCAGGTGGAGGGACCCCTCGATTACCGAGACAGGAGGAAAGTCAGCTCCTTGGAGCACAAAATGGCCATGCTCCTGTCCTGTGCGAGTGGCCTCTTAATTGGTGATTTACTGTTTGTTGGATAAGCAGGGCAGGGATTTGGCAAGAAGACATAGTCTGGAGGGAGGTGGGGGGCTTCAAGGTCAGCTCCCCAACCCAGCAGAGGTCAGGCCAGAGGAGTGTGGGAGATGAATGGATCTCCCTGGGATGAAGCTCCCGTGCAGCCCAGCGCCATGGGGAGGGCCCCGGGTGAAGCAACTCCACACACAGACTCTTTGTTCTCTGCAGGGAGGAGGAAGGCCCGTCTGAGAGCCGCTGTGGAGGGCTGGGGCCGGGGG